AGATAGATAGATAGATAGATAGATAGATAGATAGATAGATAGATAGATAGATAGATAGATAGAGAGAGAGAGAGAAATAGATAGATAACACACACGGAATTTGATTGAGGAATTTTTTCCTCTATTAATGATGATCTTTTATTGCATGCTTCAATAATGAAGAATTGGTATGATTACCTAAATAAGAAATAAGAGTATCAAAACCGAGGTGACGAGATGGAGCGTTTGCCACCCAATGAAGGCAAGGTTTGAATCCCTGCAGTGGTTGGTTGATACGATTTCTGCACCCGGCTAACACCAGCCATAGTACTGATGTAAAATATCCTCAGTGGTGGGCGGATCATGGGTTAAACTCCCCATGCGGTCAAGCTAACCATAAGAGATTTTCGTGGTTTTCATCTCCCTGTAACGCAAAGGGGGGTTAGTTCCATCAAAAAGTCTTATAAAATAAAATAAAAAATATCACTCTCATCTAACTGCAAAAAGGAAGAAGAAAAACAGTGTTTATTTCAGTTTATAAAAAAATTGCGAAATATTTCCTTCCCTTCACTCATCAATATGTATGGAAAAACTTGATCTCAGATTCCAACAAAACTAGTTGGTGATCATGAAAATTAGGTAATGTTTGTTCGCTCTCTGTACTCCTCAAATGTAAAAATTTACTGCAACATTGAATCAAATATCAAATATTTATTAACATGTGAGAAAAAGCTTTCGTTTACTCTTTATAGGTGAGTCAGAAACTAGAGACCGATTTCAAGCCCCACCACTTATTAAACGAGAAAAAATTTCTCCGATGAAAGGAGAACTGAAACCAGATGGAGACTTCATAGGTGAAACAACCCACAAAACAGATTACCCACCAAAATATGTGATTCCACCAAAGCCATTAAAAAAGCTGCCTAAATGGAAGGCCAGTACAGACAAATTCCAAGATTGCACCACACATAGGCATGATTATAGATGTCACCCACTGTTTAAAAAGCTGGCTCCTATAGTCCCTGCAGAGGCTAAAAAATTCGACGGCCCTTTTGAAGGAGTGTCGCATTATAAAAAAGATTTTCAACCTCATGAAGTGTTGCCAAGGTAAATACGTTTTTGGTAATAACATTATTATGATTTGACTTGCTATTTTTTAAAAATTAAATTGTCCTTCTAATTTGAAAAGAAGAAAAAATAAATACCAAATTTTAATTGGCGATCGAAATAGGCTACAGATGGCGCAAAGCAGAACTCTCTACCTATGGCAACATTTCGCATGCTTTCACATAGTCATCGGAGAGGCAAGTACGTCAGTTTCTTTCAGATAGATAAAAACTTCTAAGTTAGGAAACTATATGGAATTGAAAACTAGATTAAACATAGTTTTAAAAGAAAACATCATGGAAATTTTAGAAAATATTTTTGACAGTTAAATATGAAAAATATTATGGAATGCGAAAATATCCAAGTACTTCCCCATACAACTGAGAAGAGGAGGAGAAAGAAGAGGGGAGGGTTACATTCCTTCACAGCGTGCCTAGTTTGATCAATAATAGCCTTTTATAAGGTGTGTAATGCTCAAGTAATTATTGATGTTAATACTATGCTTAAAGGACTTATTGACACAATTTTATTTCATGAATAATTCCATTTCTTAGTTATTTCAGTTAATCATAAGCTTTAGTTAAGCATAAGCATTAGTTAAGCATAATTTTATAATAGATCTTGAGAATACAAAGCTGACTTGGCCATTGGTTTTCGGTAGCGGCCGAAAAACTCAGGCTAGAATTATTCATTTTTGGTATTGGATGGATATAATTACTACTCTGTTTAGACCTCTATTGTAATCGGCGAGTGGTTGACTTATTGTGGTCGGCGGATGTTGATGAAACTTAGCCCATATTATATGGTTCATGGGTAAATGAAATCTGCAATAAAAATTAGTTCAAATTTTGATCAATAAATGGCGTTTTTCAGGTATGAGAAATGATTTATGCAATTTGGTGCAGTTTTCACAAGTTAAAAGTCACTGCCGTAACAATCTTGACCACTTTGTTATTACCAAAGAAAAAACGGGCATTATTCGTAAAAATTTTTTAACAAAACGACAGATTACCGTCACTATGTTGCTGTAATAGATCGAAAAAACCCAATGTGCCAGAGTTGTACACGGTATAACGCGTTTTAAACATGTGTTTAACGAAATCGGATTGCACATTGAGCACATGTTCCAATTGCGTTTTATACCTTTATGCGCTTCCTTTTTCAACGGATGCTCGAAATTTAAACTAATTTTTTTTTAATTGTAAATTTCTTTTCTTCATGGCCCGTACTCACAATCGCACCGTTCGAATGCGTCATCTAAGATGAATATCGGTTTCGTATACAGAACCTATTTCTCGCGATTTCCTGATTCAGTGGCGTTTAACAACACACTCTGTGTCGCGTTTTCTTAAATAAATAAAAATTTGATTCTTGACTTTTTTTTTTAGTTTAGGTAAGAGGAAATAAAAACTCGGATTATAATTGTGATTAACTACAACCAAGAGAAAAATCCCCAAAAAAGAGAGCGAGTCGTTGAAGACCTCTGGATCTTCCAATTCATATTATCTTTGTATTTCCAATTCATGTCATCATATTTCCAATTAATATCATCTTCCAATTTCCTCTCCTCCATTACTCAGATATATCGGATTGTATAATGATGTTTCCCCTTGCCATGTTACTTTTCTCATTTAGATTTTTAAAAATTATATTTTGAAGTTTCGACGATGCTTACTTTAAGTACTATGTTTCATGCGTTAAGTTTCATATAGTTTCCAAGTTCGAAATATTTTAATCTGTTTGAAAATCAGGACAGAATCTAATGTGTGCTTTCTATTCCTATGATTATCCACACCCTTTTGAAATATTCTAAAGCGTTGTCATGGGTAAATAGTTCTGCTATGCGTCACCTTTAGTCCATTTCGTTCGCAAATAAAGTGGGTATCAAGTTTCATTGACATCTGTCAAACAGAACGAATTATATGTAGGTCTTAACAAGGTAACTTATAATTCTAACCAATTTGCATAATTTTCAGGCAATTGCCTGACTGGCATCCTTCGTTTCGAAAGCAACAAAAATCTGATGCGCCAATGTCAAGAGAAACAACATACAAAACGGATTATGAGGCCCCTCCGGATGATGTTCCGGCTCAACCAGCAAAACCTCTTAAGGATAACTTGGGTCTGCCATGTGGACCGATGGAGAAGATGACAACTTCCAGGAGAGATTACAAGGCACATCACCCTGTGAAAACTGAATCATTTAAACCGGATCTAGGCTACAAGAAACCAGAAGTAAGTAGGGAACGTTATTACTGCATGGGAAAAATTCGCTTGGGCAAATATGAACCTGATTAGTGAAATACATTTGCTTTGATTAGTGAATACAATACATTGGAAAGAATATATTTTTAACATCAATGGATAAATAGTTAATATTGAAAGCGAAAAAGCTTTTAAAAATCACGAAAAAGCTCTTAAATTAGCAATAACTTTTAAACAAATGCTAATTTTGAAAAAAAACTCTCGTTAAAATTATATTGCAATAACTTTCAAATTAGAATTTTAAAAAAATAAAATAAAAACTCTATGTTAAATTCATAAACAAATACGGTACTTTACACTCTGTAGTTGCAGTCTCGCGACCTGTAGAGCAGCCAGTGTGGAATTTTTTCCAACAAGTTCAACAGTTAATAATTCTGGAACAAATTATAGAATGATAAAGTTTGTTTTATTCCATTGTAATCCCTGTACACTTTTCTACACACCTTATTAATTTCAAACTTTTTAAGTCTTATAGTTTTGTGCTAAGCAAAAGAAAATATAACGTTATGTTGAACACCCAAAATAGCTGGGAACCTTACGATTTTATAATATAGAGAGATTTAATTGAACGAGACGAGACCAGAATAAAATCGTTAGCACCAAACGCGAAAAAATTATTAAAGTTCTTATGTATAGAATATAGTTAGATCCCAATTAGCTTAACTTCAAAAACACTCTCCTTTCCTTTCATGAAAGCCATCCCCTCCTCAGAGGATCAAAATTGTGATGGCATGTCTTCGGATCATCCTCCGGGATGTTTCCCAGACCGTCGCCAATAGCCCATTGTGCAGCTCTAGTGCGACGTAAATTAACAACAACAAAAAATCCTTTCATGAAAAAGAAAAATTTAATAATGTAACAATGAATAGGTAATGTAAGAGAATGTTCCATGAAATTGAAAAGAGATAATCATTTTAACAACATACTGAAGAAACATATCTTAATTTTTAAATACATAAAAATTTTCTACGATTGAAAGACTATGTAAACAATGCGGAATCAAATGTTCAACTTACTTTTAATGCTTAAAACAGAACTTATGATTAACTTTCGATATTTAAAAAAAAAAAATAGTTATTGCCGCTGTTTCAGAAATTTATCAGCTGGTATGCTTCTCACTGCCATAACTCGAAAACCATTACATGAAACGATATGAGGTTTTGCACATTTTTGGAGAATCGATAGAAGATTATTCATATGTTAAAATGTTTCTGATGCGGATATTATTTTTTGAATTATTTTACGTCAATTAGAAGATTTTTTTTTTGTTTTTTTGTGCCACATAATTTAGTTTAGCGGAAACTATTATCAAACATATTATGATTTTTCGGAAGCCACGTGTCGCTATGATTGTAAATAAATATTTTGTCTCAATTTGTTTAAATTTCGAATTAGTTTTGAAATAATTTAATAATTTTAATTAACCATTCGGAAATTTAATCGCAGTAATATATATATATATATGTATTTGCAGTCATGACATTCTTATGAATAAAGATTTCAAAAAAACACTTTTGATCTTTTGTTAAAACTTCCAATTTGTTTCGGAGTAATTCAATTTTAAAAACTTGATTATTTCTTAGATAATCCGAAAGATTAACAAAACAATATATATTTCTTACGTCTTTTATACAGAACAAAAATAGAATAGCTATAAATTCAAAATTTCATTTATAAGAAATTCAGTTAATTATTTCTTTCTCAAGCAAATCAAATTAGCTAAATCAAAAATCTAAATTTCAGGAAAATTCTGTCAACCTAAATTATTGTTTTATTGCTGCATAATAAAATTTCAAGTTGGCAGCTTTAAAAACAAAACCACAATAACATAAAGTTGGGATATTCAATTAGCATTGGTGATCATTTAAAAACCTTTAACTTCACATTAAATAAATAATTCCAAGAAATTGAAGCGGTAAGATATTACTGATAGATTGAAAACTTAATTTGCTTTGAAAATATATAAATAGGAAATAACAGTAGACATATTTCAAGCGCTCAAAAACAAACGCCCATTTTCAAGACTTGCCAGACGTGAATGAGAAGAAACAGAAGTGATTTGAATTATAAAACGTAAAGTTGTGAACGAAAAAGGTGAGAAACAAAAACAAACATAAGTTCCTTAACCACATCTCTTTGTTCTTCCTTTCTTCACTTTATTAATAATATTTTAATATGTTTTCTTTCTCTTGTTCTAATATTTATATTTATAATAAACATATTTAAAATGGACATTTCAGGGACGGTTTTCTGATTGCACAACCACCAGACATGATTATACTGCTAAAGCAGCAGAAAAAATACAGATTTCTAAAATGGGGGACAACCTTCACTGTGGAGATGGAGACATGGAGGACACTAGTATTTCGAGAAGAGATTATCAGTGGACATGTGTGGATTGTCCTGCTGGTTACCTTAAAAGATTTGGAAAAGATGCTCTCGTACCAAAATACACTTTCGATAAGGTGGAATCTGGGCATCAATTCTTTTGTAAAGAGCCCAAAATTAGCAGAAAGTCATGTTGAAAATTAATAATCAAGTTTTGCAATATTCATTCACGTATAATAATGAAGAACTACGATTACTTTGATTTCTTAAGAAATTCATTAAATTATTTTTTCTTTTAAGTGTTGTTTTTAGTTTTCACTTATTTAAAAATGATATACTAAATAGCTCGAAATTTAATGAATATTATTTAAATTTGATTGCAATTGCTTAAAAAGAAAGTTTGAATATTAGATATTTATTTTGAAAAAAAAAGAAAGGAGTTTTTTCTATTTCTTCCAAACTTGCCACCTCTGCTGTAAGGTACACAAAATATATTTTTATTTTTTAATAACGGCAGGCACTGAATTTTCGTTCTTCGCCTTAGAAGATGCCGGAAGTGTTGCTCATTTATCGTTACCCTGTGAACCAAAGTCACGGANCGTTACCCAGTGGGCACTTGTGAACCAAAGTCACGGAGGCGAGCAACATTACCCACGCCACACTGCCACAAATACCCGTTCATGGGGTGGGCCACATTCATACAGCAGAAGACAACAAACACACAGAGAGAGAAACATCCGTGCCCAGAGCGGGATTCGAACCCGCAGCCATTGGCTTCGCAGTCAGGCACGCTAACCACTCGGCCGGCGGTACACATAATATGCTATTGAGTTGTTTGGAAAGTAATTTTATTTTTTCCCAACAAAGGTTTTAATCGATTCTTTCAGGGTAAACTTCACACATAAATCATATAATCATTATAAATTTTGAATCAGATATAACTTCGAACTCTACAAGCAACCCCAAATAATCCCCAGTAATAGACTGAGCCATTTATAGAGAAGCCCTGAAAATAGCGCCATGGGAGTCGTTACCTTTAAGGACCCCCAGAGGTAGACCCCCTTCTAGATGGCTCAACAACATCGAAAATGACCTGGAAACCCTAAAGAATGGAAATTTGAAGGGAGTTGAAAAGGGGTTGCTGGCGTGAGTCAGTTGTTGGGGCAGCCAAGGCCGGCAAAGGGTCGTTGCCTTGACAATGAAGAAATCTTGAATAGGACGATTTACTTTTGAAAAAGTTTGATCGATTCTCGTTAGTAGTTTTTGGTTGGTGTCTTTTCAAATATTTTACTTTTTTAATACCGAAAAAGTAAAAATGCTGTTCATGCAAGAAAAAAATTATCTGATGTGTATCGAAATGCGTTGATAGTACGCCAAAGTCAAAACTAGTGTACAAAATTTTGCTTCAGCAAAACTTCGATCAAGATCCACTGCACAAGTTTAGGCTGATGAAAGCATTAATTAAAGCAATCTGGCAAAGAACAACTCGACATATCGTTAAGAGAATAAATTTGGTGAATTTGAATGTTTGTGATCATTTGAAATGCATAGATTAATTCTCAAAGCTAGACATATGGGTAATCCATGTTCTAATGGAAAGATATTTGCACTGTCTCATTAGATGTCTGTAATTTGCTTCTCAGACGTCTAGAAAATTATCTACTTTCGAAGTCATGGGTGCCACTTTAAATATATTTCAAGGCTGAACTTATTCTTTTTGACGAATTAGAACAATCTAGAGTAATTTACTAAAACTTTCAGAAATTTAGAGCTCACCAAAATGTAACTTTCTAGATGGGCTCACATATTAAATCAATTATTTTCTTCTTCAGTCAGTTTTCTTCTCTATATTTTTTCTTCATTTAATTAGTTTATTTTTTACAACAAACAAGATAAAAAATAACAGCTAACCTTGTACATCTTTTCACATCAATCACTGAATAATAAACCACTACTTTTTTCATGAAGCTATTTATTTTTCACTTTGCCATTATTTATTATTTGTCCTATCTCTAATATTTTTTTCTTTCTTTTTTAAAAAAAATTATAATAATCTCAATTTAACTTTGGCCAGAATTTCAAAACATTGAGGAATTTAAAACAAAACAATCTAGATACAACAATAGTAAAAATTAAGTTTTAGCTAGCAGGCATTGAATTTCAGTCTCATTCTTTCATTACTGAGCTACATCATTAATTGATCATTTCACATTATGAAAATTTACAATGTTTACATTAAAATGTTATTTTTATAACAGAATATTTGTTACATTTTTAAGAAAAAACAGAAATCTTAATATTCAGGGGTGATTGTGAGTCCAAGTCAGAATTCCGGAAAATTTCCTGAGTTTAAATTGAAAAAAATTTTAACAAGTTTTTTTTCCCCTTTTCTCAATATTTCTTAGTTTACTTAAAATATATTTAAAATTTTATACATACCTATATCATTTACACATACCTATGATGACCTGGAGAAGTAATTAAATTTACAAATATGTCTTTCTTTTTTGAGTTTATGATTATAACAACTATTTACTGATAAAAAATGAATATTAATTATGAATATAAGCTTATAAAGTATCTCTCTGGCTCTCCCTTACAAACAAATAAAATAAACTGCGTTTTTAAGTTCCACCTTTGAAAATTTGATTTCCGGAAACTTCTGTGATCAATGATTTTTTTAAACGTCTGGACCTTCGATCTCCGGATCACTGTTAACAAAAAATCCGGATTTTTTCCGGAGCACAATCAACCCTGAATATTAAAAACAAATGGAAAAGAGATATTAATTTATGAAACTTCATCCACTGATTCTCTCTCAAGATCGATTCCAGCCCCCAGGACTAAAGTCCCCGTGCTCGAAGCACATTATCACTGAGGACGCGAAACTGTTTGCCCGCAATATTTCTTAGGGTTTATAAAAATTTTGTATTTAGACAGTAATACTTTTTACTCCAAATGAGGTCATAAGTTACCTGGATCAGTTTTCGACCAGTAAAGAACAATAATTTTATAAGCAAGGATTCATGCTACTGCTAGAAAGATGGCTAAAAGTTTTGGATAAGAATGAACAATGCATGATCCAATGAAACATTTCGTTATTCTAAGAAAATCGTCTTTCATTTTCATAAAGAAAAAACTATAGTTAGTCAAAAGTAAAAACTCCCCTAGCCATTCGTCTGAACCCATGGCGGTGACTATGGTAATGAGGTACAACTATTTCAAGTAGAGATGTGGGGTAATTGTTTAGGACAGGTATTGGCCCGGGTCGGTGAGAGAGGGAATATTTTACCTTTATTGTGTTAGCCCTAGAGTGAATAGAAGCCACCCTCCCAGAAATGCACTATTCTTGTTTCCATAGCAGTAGACTGTCTGAGACTTTGCAGGGAAGGGGGGGGGGTTCTAACCGTAAGAAAGCTATATATTACTCTTTCTGATATCAACGCAAAAATATTAGTCATTTATAATTTACACTAAACTAACTTGCAACAAAAAATGTATCAACCTCTAATTTTCAAGAAAGCAATTTATTTAGCAAAACATTGAAAGAAGAAAAAATTGCTTCAAACAATATTCTTGAAAACCATACATCTTCACAGCATATTCATTAGACAAAGATACAGAAACGCGAGCACTTACAAAATTATTAAAATATACATGTTATAAATAGTATATAGTAAATAAATGCAGAATATGCTAATGGTAGACTATGGGAAGGCTAAATCCAGGAGTATAAAATAATTTCAACTCATAATTCATTCGAAATGTAATTATCAATCATTCACGTACATAAAATATCAACACAGATTAACGTATGACTAGGCTTTATACACACTTCTTTTATTAAGTCTTGATTCATTCGATTATTTAAACTTAATTTTCTTGATAATTTTAGGGGGGGGGGAAGATGATTGTCGTTTTAATGCAGAGTGATCAAAAAATAACAATTGGCTAACGGAGAAGCCTAATGGCAAAAATACAGAATAAACCATTAAGATAAAGTTTAATAGAAAGAAGAAAAAAAATTTAGAAAAAAAAAGGGGTGGAATATAAAAATTTTAAAAAGAATAGTTTAACTGTAAAGTAAGACTAATTTGAATTATTTTTGGAAAATTTTGCTCCACTTTATTTGCATGATTTGAAGATGAAACATTCCTTTCATTCAAAAAAATTGTTTGTGAAATTAATGAATTTATTTTTACAAACAAGTCCCTGTCCATATAAATTAAGACTATGGTACAGATAAATTTCTAGACTTGTAGTTAATAAAATATTTAAGGATGTGATAACGTACCCCAGTTGTGGGATATTATAATTCTTTCAAGTACTCTGGTATATTACGTCTCGCCACATAACTTCTTTTAATGATAAAACAAAGAATAGTATTCAATACAGATTCAAATTTGTTAATTAGGAAGAATTTAAATTGTTTTTGACTATTAGTTGATAAATCACACTTTTGACTGTTAAAATTACAGTTTGAGGGGTTATTGAACATTATTTTAGTGGGTTCACTCCTGATTCTGCAGTTAAATAGAGTCTCATAACACCTTATGTTATTTTTAGACATATAACAGGTTACGTATTGGCACTAAAAATATAAGTAAAAGAAAAACTGATGAGTAAAGAAAGTAAATTCAAACATATTATTTGAATGTTATGTGATCACATTTTCATTAAGTGGAATAAATTCGCAACAAAGAAACACTGGTTAGTAAAACATTTAAAGTAAGTACAAAATCAGAATATCATCAACAATTCATTCATCACTTTTCACTGGTCATCTTTATCTTTGGCTCCATGCTTTAAGATACGTGTGAATTCCATGTAGTCAAACATACCATGCTTATCTATGGGTGCTTCTCTGTACATTTCATCAACCTAAAAAACAATTTAAAATACAATCTTGATGACAAGCTTTATAAAAATGATTGAGATAGCAATAAATATATACATTTGCATAATATATACATATGTGTATAGATATATATATACATATATATAAATTATCCCATAATTAGTTACACTTAAAAGCAGGGTTTGCCAAGTGGGCCCACATTGAAAAAACCCACCCAGGTTTTATTGGGTGGGCCCACCTTGAAAAAACCCAAGTGGGTTTTTTCAACCAAATGCTAAGTGGGTTTTTTCAACAAAAAAAATGCTTTTATTAAAACTTATTAGTGCACATTTAATTTTATGTAATTTATTGTGCAGCATAAACTTGTCAAATAGAGTTGCATGATTCATGTGATTAAGTTTTGAATATTTGTAAAAGTAAAAGAAACTTGAATCTATAATTTTATAGTATTATTGAAAACTTTAAGTGGGTTTTTTCAAAAAGTAGTATTTTAATGAAATTAAATCAAATAGAAATTTAAATAATATGGTCTGAAAAGGTCAAAATTTCAAATATAGTTTCATGCTTTATATATTAATATTATTACTAATTCATTTGTTTAAACATATTGAAAAGAAATATTTTTTTTACTAAGTGATACATTAACACTTTTAAACAGTTTTATTTTCTGGTTTTAAAAAAATAAGCTAGAACTTTTTTATTAGTTGAAAATAATGGTTAATATTTTTGGTTAATTAGTGGAAAAAAATGAAGTAACTGATACTCTTTATAATTATACATAATTTCAATTTCACTTTCTTTTAATCTTATTATAACAATATGGAAGACCATTAAATATTTATTTCAGTTTTTTATTAAATTCAAAAGTTAGATGAAATTTTAGTTTTTACTGATTATAATTTTATAACAGGTAATATTTATAAGTTTAATAAATATAAGTAAATGTGTGTGAAAACAAAAAGATAAATAAATCCGTTCCTTTTATATTACTACATTTATATTTTATAATGCTTGAGTTAAAAATTGTGAAACGTTATGCACTTAACAATGAGGAAGATTCAAATATGCATTAGTGATAATGCGTTATTTAAACTTAATATAAAATACAAATAACAAATTTAAAATAACTTTTTGGATTTATTTCTATTTTTAAGCTTATACAACGCTTTTTAATATATAAAAATATTTACACAGTAAAACTTAAAGTTCATGAGCAGTAAATGAAAAAATCCAATTTTCCCCAGGCTTTTTCAAATAAAACCCAATTTTCCCGGGGGGTTTTCAATAAAACCCAACTGGGTTGGGTTTTTTCAAGCCCTGCTTAAAAGACTAAACTAATCATAAAGATAAGCCCTATCATTTTTTTTGTTTCATTTTCAAGTACTAGGCTAAGTTTAAAGGAGTGATTTATCAAGACTATTCCATAATACAAAGAGAGAAAAAAATTTTAATATCATTTTTTTATTAACAAATTTTTTAGTTTTTTATTAAATATTTTAGATATGAAAACATGAATTACAATTTTTAGCAATTTTGCAAAAGAAAAAAAAATATTTAGCTCACATTTAGTTAACAACAGTCATATAAAAATTGTAACATCAATCACAAAAGCTTTTTCTCTATTTCCGACTTTCTATCTGTCATTTCATGCATACTTTAAATGTTTCCTGTTAATTTTAAAAAATGCTTGAATAAATTTCAAAGGAAAAAAAATCCCATTTTCCCTTTACAAAAGAGGAAGAATTTTAAAATAAAAATATGTTTTACTCCATGTTCTTTCTAAACGTAAGTAACATTTTATATTTTTATTCTAAATAAAACACTTCATCCTTTTTCCTTAGGCACATAATATTAGGCTATTAAAAAACATACTACTTAACTTTATTAAATATTTATCAATGAAAAAAGTTTACAAATAAGGAAACCAATCAAAATTCAATCACCATGAAATACTCCCTCATACAAAAAATATATGATTATATGCACACAAAAAAATCTCTAATTTATTAAATTGAAAAAATATATCGATCCAGATTTAACACTTTTTTAAATGTGCAAATTAAAAAATTTAATATCAACAACAAAAACTATACTGTAGTAATTCATTTTAATGCTAGTTTATATTTATTTATTCATATCATTAATGTAAAAAATAAAGGTTATAAAAATATTCAATTCAAAATAAATTTAACTTTTTAAAAAAAATAGCTACATTCCTTAAAACTGGCTATTTTAACTGTCCTTTAGACTGATTATTTTAACAACCAATGGACTACCACTTGTAAAATTACATACTTTTGCATATACTTTTGAAAATAAAATACATTCATAAAAACTTGAATGTTTCATAAAATTTGAATATTTTAAGATAGTACTTTTACAAGCAAATTAAATAATGTGATATAAGTATTGAAGATAATTAAATAAACTGAAACCAAAAATAGAAAAACACTACTGTACCTAAAATTTCCTATTTGGTGTTTTTAATTTATTATGCAGAAAGCAGATAATATATTATCTTATTTTTATCTGAATGAAAGAAAATAGATATAATAAGATAAAATATTAACCTCCCACTAAGAATTTTTTCATTCCATTGATATGATAGATATTTTATAGTTAATCTTAAACTTTAAAACTAGATTCAAAGAAATCTATATATAAAAAGAAAGAAAAAAACATCAAAAATAATTGAAACCCAAATTTTACTTAATTAGGAATTTTTTAAGAGAAATCACGTCTTTTTAATGCAGCAGAAAAAAATTTTAATGATCAGGGGTCAGTCCAGACCAAATTTACTACCGTTTAGCGAAACCTTCACAAATTCAACTTTAGGAAAAACGGTAGTTTCACAAATTTAATTTTAGGAAAAACAGTAGTTTCACAAAATACTTTTTCTTAAAATTTTATTTTTGTATTCCTTAAGAAATGATAAATCCATATTCTTGTGTCCAGGATTTTTAAATATAATTTTTAATTTTTCACAAATTATGTCTAAATTTTCACAAAATAGGTACCGCTCAGAAAAACCTAGACAGACCCCTGACAATATAAATTTATTATTGCCATCAACATTTGATTCAGTCATTTATGATCAATTAAACACATCTAGCCTTCATGAAATACTAAATCCAGTTGAAAATAAAGTTAGAGATCATGCTTTTTAAAAGTAAAGGGCCATGTTTCCTACTTTTGCACTAAGAAATAGTAATTGTATAACTTAGCTGCCCATGACCTTTTACCTTAAGATTTAACAGCAAGTTAAACAGCACATGAAGTTTTATATACTAATAGCAGGGATGAGAGTAGTCAGAAAGTAAAAAAGAGGAAATCCAAGAAGAGGAAATTCAATATATATATATAAATCGCACTTTTTTTGTCTAATTTTTGTTTAAACTTGTAATCCATGTGATTATAAATCCCGATATGAGGCTTTTAAATCACGTGCATATAAAACTCTACATCGAATTTAAAAAATGCGAAAATACAAATCATGATGCGCAATTTTTAGATCAGGATGCATAATTTTAAAATCGCGCGATATTACAACCGCAAAAACGAATCACGACATTGGATTTTAAGCTCGGGTAGCTACATAGGGTTTTAAAAGCTCGTAAATACAAATCGCGAAATTGGTTTTTTAAATCTCGTAAATAAGAATCGCAATGTTCAATATTTAAATGGCCTGAATAAGAATCGCAACGTTCAACTTTTAAATCAGGTAAATACGAAAATCGATGTTTGATAAT